CACACACACACACACACGATTGCTTTCTATGTTCGTGTGTACATGTGTGTGTATATATATATATATGCTAAGGTGTAGCATAACACATTACATGGCATCCATGCACACTTTATATGTATACCGACATACACATATAATGTATACACACTCCCATAGTACGTTGATGTCGACCTCAAGCCCACGCATTAATGACGTAGAATCACCGCATGATGATGCCGGTGTATAGAGATGCCTTTCTTATTGTAAGCCTTATATTCTATACTCAATATATCGGGATATGGGGTGACACATCATGTAATACACGTGTGATCCCATAGTCGGGAATGACGAATCTCTAATAATCGTCGCATTTGTGTTCGTGCTGTGGTAGAATCTTGCATGCGAATACATCTCAGGAACGTGGCAACCCCACTGTGACTGGCAAGCCGAAGGACGTGAAGGACACTCAGTGCCCTTGGCTGCTGTAAGGTTCAATGGCTAAACACTATGTCATTATGCTGTTTCATTCAGGTTAGGCTTGCTGGGTACACCTGATTATCGTATATTCAACACTCAGGGGTTTTTCTCTTGCCATGTAGCTAGGGTCCAGCATACAAAGGGTTGGGCAGCTAGATCAACTGCTTTGACATCTCCAAACTCCAAGCCTTAGCACCATAAGTACGTGCTTCATTCATGGACGAACTCGTTGTACAAGGCACTGCGACCTGCTTCCAAGTGGACTTTACGCCTATAATCCTCTATGTAAGTTTGTTATGTTCCGTAATTCAGAAAGAGTTCAAGTCCGCAATTTGCGACCCGGAAACCGAAACTTCAAGTATCAAGCCTTCTGCGACGATCAACCGGCATATGTTTCGCCCATGAATATTACGCACTTCCTCGATCTAGAATTGACGTTGAGATAACCTGATCAATAAAGTTCCCGACACATCGATGGTTGTATTTCAGCCGGAGCCCTTCACTTGCAAACCGCACAATCACATCTGTTTTATTCGATGACTAATTGTTCTGGTCCCAGGCAATACACCCCGGACTTCGCCAAAGCGGTGCTCGATGCTTGGGCGGCTGCCAATTGCGAGGACGCTGGGACCTACACGTAGCAATCAGTGTTGGGCCGGGTTATATATCGCCGGTTGCGCTGGGATGTTGGTCTGCCGCTTTGTAGAAGTTTCTCGATTATGTTTGAGGAACCGGTAGGACAGAATCATGGACTTTATACGATTAAACTGATGCTGGGCTTTTCGTTAGGGTACGGTTTGCTGCAGCTTCGGTGTCCGTTGGCGAGTATTTCTGCATATATAGCAGGAGTTCGGGCTTCGGTGTCACGCGGATAGGACTGTGATGGGGTTTCCTCTATATATGAGCGCCATATAGTGTCCTGTATATCCTCTATATACGTACTCCAAAGCCTGAACCTTGAACCTACAGGTTGTAGTTTTCTTTCAACCTGAAGCAATATAATATAGACTTTAACATCCATCCGCACTTGGGGATGTTCTTCAACTTTGCCCTCCCAAATGATAGTTGGAGAGATAAGTTTGTTATAACTTGACCCATGCAATAGTTATTCCGCTTTATTGTGCTGTCAACTATATACCCCTACACCCCCAAGCCCGTACTAATGTACTGAGTACACGAATACACCCAGTCTGGAGCCCCGAAGCCGACACCTTGCTGACTGCTCGTCTGATAAAAGCCCCGCTGTATCTATCTGTTCGTCTTTGATATCTGACTATATATAGAGATATATATATATATATATGCAACTAACCATTTATCTCCCAAAGGCTCCATGTACCTTTGTAGTAGATACTTAAGCCCCAAAGTACTCCCTATATAGATACTTTAAGGCCTAAGTATCAATCTACTATAAGGGTACATGGAGCCTTAGGGTCTATTCATAAAAATAATCACAAAATAATGTCCCTGATATATATATATATATACATATGTATACATATACACTCATTTTATTAGAGCCCATCCATCCATCCAAATCTGGACGTCGCCTGGCCCTGGCTGCTGGCGATGACTCAGCCATCGTCGGCTCCACTCGATCGTTGCATCTTTGGAGGTTTACAATTCTACACTGGATTCCAGATTCTGCTTGATCAGGGTTTGTATCGTATCCCATAGATTATGGTAGAAGCCAGAAAGTTGGAACATTAGTATCCTCATGCCCTTAAGGTAAAGGAAACGGGCACTAATCCTCCTAAACTCATGTTCCAACTTTCTGGCTTCTACTGTAATCTAGCTAGCTAAACCTGAGTTTTGACGGAGACATCGCATTGAGGCTGTTTCGATGATCCTAGAGGCCTGAGAACAGTTCACAGAGAGGAACCCATTCAGAAAAAAAGAAAAACAGGAATCCTGTGCTGGATGCCACGAGCAATCGTGGCCACACGTGTTCGCTGCCGCTGACGACAACACGTACGACTTGAAGGCACAAATTACCTTGCTGTTTGCGGAGCCCATCGATTGGCAGGAGGACGTACTTAGGCGGCACTGAGAGAAACAAACCATCTCGGTACGTCTCCTGCCATTGCATGAGCTCAGGCATCGCTGCTACAGGTGGTGCACTTTATGCTGAATAGTGGAAAGCTAAGGCTGCCGAAGGTCTGGCCGAGCGATTTTGCCTAGGGCATCGCAAAGGTTTGTAGCCCAGCAACCTGGGGAAAGGCAATGCTGGGTTGTGCTTGCCGGGCGATGTCACGAAATGCAAATGTGGACTTCAAGAACAACAGCGTGCAACATACAAACATCATCAAATAGCATCTCATGATTCTGTGTGTGTGTTGGATCGACATCGCAAGGGCACAAAACCCTTTGTCGAAAACCTGTGAAAAAGCTGTCGAAAACAAGGGAAAATGCGTAGAATCTGTGAACTCAACATTTAGGACCCAAAACCTAAAAGTATGTTGCAAATAACATCCGAGTAACGTTTGATCACCATCATTATGCTGAAAACACACTTGTCGAAAACCTGTGAAAAAGCTGTCGAAAACAAGGGAAAATGCGTAGAATCTGTGAACTCAACACGTAGGACCCAAAACCTGAAAAGTATGTTGCAAATAACATCCGAGTAACGTTTGATCACCATCATTATGCTGAAAACACACTTGTCGAAAACATGTGAAAAACATGTGAAAAACAAGGGAAAATGCGTAGAATCTGTGAACTCAACACGTAGGACCCAAAACCCTGAAAATCGTGTTCGCGATGGCATCCGATGTGCTTCGGAGCTTGTGAGATTCGTTCAGCATTGGTTCGCGATGGATCAGTCATCCTTGTTTCTTGTGCTGCTTGTGTGGAAATCAAGCATTGCAGTCTGTAGTGACGGCTTTGAGATTCGCAATTCGATGATGGGGAAACCCAAACCTGCCGGCAAACCGCCGGCTGTGCTCCCGGCGGCTGCAGCTTCCGATGCTTGCTATGTATACACACACACTATTGCTTGTGTGTTGGTATGTTCTCCTATATACATATCTATATGTATGCAAACAAATCCGAGGAAGTGACTTCCTCGATCGATGCTTTGCTGCTGGGTCAGATTGGGCTTTCTGCAGAGCAACAGGAGATGGTGCGGCAGAAGATGCCATTCGGCGTCACTACCATCCTCCCCATCCTCTCTCCTCTCCTCTCCTCTCCTCTCCTCTCCTGTCCTCCTACTCTATAACAGTAATAATACATAAATAAATATAAATATATATATATATATATATATACACACACACACACTATAAGCACGGGGGTTGCTCTTTCCACGGCACACATAAAAATAGCACACGCGGGGGCGGGTGGGTAGGTGTTGGGCACAAAAACACACCGCAAAAAATTCGCGAGCGCTACCGCGGGGGGGGCCTACCTCCTTGGAATATTCGGAACACACGTGCCTGGGCACAAAAACACACCGCAAAAAATTCGCGAGCGCTACCGCGGGGGGGGCCTACCCCCTTGGAATAATCGGAACACACGTGCCTGGGCACAAGAACACACCACAGAAAATTCGCGAGCGCTACCGCGGGGGGGGCCTACCCCCTTGGAATAATCGGAACACACGTGCCTGGGCACAAAAACACACAACAGAAAATTCGCGAGCGCTACCGCGGGGGGGGCCTACCCCCTTGGAATAATCGGAACACACGTGCCTGGGCACAGAAAACACACCGCAGAAAATTCGCGAGCGCTACCGCGGGGGGGGCCTACCCCCTTGGAATAGTCGGAACACACGTGCCTGGGCACAGAAAACACACCGCAGAAATTCGCGAGCGCTACCGCGGGGGGGGCCTACCCCCTTGTGATAATCGGAACACACGTGCCTGGGCACAGAAAACACACCGCAGAAAATTCGCGAGCGCTACCGCGGAGGGGGGCTACCCCCTTGGAATAATCGGAACACACGTGCCTGGGCACAAAACCGCACCACAGAAAATTCGCGAGCGCTACCGCGGGGGGGGGGGGGGGCTACCCCCTTGGAATCATCGGAACACACGAGCCTGGGCACAAAAAAACAACCCCGCAGAAATTTCGCGAGCGCTACCGCGTTGCATGGAAAAGACCACTGACATATGTAGGAGGGGAAGCGGCGAGGCTGGTCACAACGCACACCACAAAAAATCGCAAGCGCTATCGCAGGGGACAGGCTGGGTGTGCCTGCGGGCACAAAACACAAACACAAAAGCGAGCGCAACCCGCAGCTCGGGGGGACTACATATTAAGCGACAGGTGGGTGCCGGAGGCTACTTATTGTCATACTGCCATGGGAAAGGGACAGCAGGTACATAAGAATGCAGCCGCGGATTGAGCTTCCCTTTGTGGTATTTGCCGGATCAATATTGATATACCTATGTAAACATATATATGTCATATATAATATATGTGTGTATATACATATATATATATATATATATGTATAGAGAGATTATTTCTCAATGAATTAATTAAGAAGTTCTGGATAGCCTTAGATTATAGTATATAGTCTTGCTGATTATACAAGGTCAACGATGCTGCAGCCACGTGATGGTGCTGTTCCACAGCTGAACCTTCCAGCAGGTGGACCGCAGCAGCACCAGCTGGCAGCTCCTAGTGCAGTTCCCCCGCAGAACCTTCCGCCAAGTGGACCGCAGCAGCAGGTGGCAGCTCCCAGCAGTGCAGTTCCCCCGCAGAACCTTCCGCCAAGTGGACCGCAGCAGCAGGTGGCAGCTCCGCCTAGTGCAGTTCAGCAGAACCTTGCGCCGAGTGGACCGCAGCAGCAGGTGACAGCTCCTAGTGCAGTTCAGCAGAACCTTGCGCCGAGTGGACCGCAGCAGCAGGTGACAGCTCCGTGTGCAGTTCCGCCGCAGAACCTTCCGGCAAGTGGAGCGCAGCAGCAGCAGGTGGCAGTGGCAGCTCCTGGTGCAGTTCCGCCGCAAGTGGACCGCAGCAGCAGGTGACAACTCCTAGTGCAGTTCCGCAGAACCTTCTGGCGAGTGGCCCCCCGCAGCAGGTGGCAGCTCCTAGTGCAGTTCCGCCGCAGAACCTTCCGGCAAGTGGAGAGCAGCAGCAGCAGGTGGCAGCTCTTAGTGCAGTTCCGCAGCAGAACCTTCCGGCAAGTGGCCCCCCGCAGCAGGTGGCAGCTCCCAGTAGTGCAGTTCCGCCGCAGAACTTTCAGGCAAGTGGACCGCAACAGCAGGTGGCAGCTCCGCCCAGTCCAGCTCAGCAGAACCTTCCTCCAGCAAGTGGACCGCAGCACGTGGCTCCGGGTGCAGTTCCGCAGAACCTTCCAGGTGGACCGCAGCAGGTAGCAACTCCTTGTGCAGCTCCGCAGCAGAACCTTCCACCAGCAGCAGGTGGAATGCAGCAGATGGCGGCTCCTTGTGCAGCTCCCCAGCAGAACCTTCCGCCAGCAGCAGGTGGACCGCAGCAGGCGGCAGCTCCGTGCGCAGTTCCCCAGCAGAACCTTCCGCCACAGCAGGTGACAGCTCCAAGTGCAGTTCCGCAGCAGAACCTTCCGGCAAGTGGACCGCAGCAGGTGGCAGCTCCTTGTGCAGTTCCGCAGCAGAACCTTCTCCTGGCAAGTGTACCACAGCAGCAGGTGATGACAGCTCCAGGTGCAGTTCCGCAGCAGAACCTTCCAGCAGGTGCGCAGCAGGTGGCAGCTGCAAGTGCAGTTCCCTGGCAGCAGAACCTTCCGGCAAGTGGCCCCCCGCAGCAGACGGCAGCTCCAAGTGCAGTTCCCCCGCAGCAGAACCTTCCGGCAAGTGGCCCCCCTCAGCAGCAGGTGCCAGCTCCAAGTGCAGTGCCCCCGCAGAACCTTCCGGCAAGTGGCCCCCCGCAGCAGGTGGCAGCTCCTAGTGCAGATCCGCCGCAGAACTTTCCGGCAAGTGGACCGCAGCAGCAGGTGGCAGCTCCGCCTAGTGCAGTTCAGCAGAACCTTCCGCCAGCAAGTGGACCGCAAGAGGTGACAGCTCCGTGTGCAGTTCCGCAGAACCTTCCGCCAGCAAGGACGCTCCTGCAGCAGCCTGGAACTCCCTCCATTTTGGAGATGGTGCAAGAGCTTGAAACGCAGATGGATCAGGAGGAGCCAATCAGTGTGAATGACACGCCCGAACCCCCGCCCCGGCTGAATCGCAGCGCTGTGTCAACACTGGCTTCGGCTGCTTCCTTTGATGACACATCAAAGGTGGCTCGAGTCTCCCAGGCAGGTTCCGTTGTTAATGTTGTCTGGAATATTCGCAAAACCTGAGTCCGTGGCCGGTCTATGTATACACCCTAAACCCTAAACACGACGTGTAGGATGTATCACCGTCGTATGGGACACATAATATAATGCATGCAGTGTGACATTTTCTTTCTGTGTGTGTTTTCTGGTGCCGACCGAAATGCGATCTGTCTCGCAGGACTTGGTTGCACCGGACACGTCAGCAGCACTGCTGGTGAAGGCACCGTCGCCGTCGCCGACTCCCGTGACGGCGAAAGCGAAAAGTGCGGCAAGGACGAAGCCGAAGGCTGCTGCTGTGAAGGACATTCACCACGTAGAGCAGTGATGGTTCGTGATATGTCAAGCCTTATGCAAAGCAGCTAATTGTGATTTTCTGCGATCTATAATAATTTGGCATGATTTTTCTTTGTATTTCTCATTCAACAGGATGAGTATGCGCTGCCGGAGCTGACCTTGCAGGAGAAGGCGATGTATGGCAACTTCTGGTCGCGGTACCGCTCGAGCAGCTCGCTGTCGTTGACCAGTGATGCGGATTCCGTCGACTCCGACATCAGCCAACCTGTGCCGAAGGGGCCGCCGGCAGTACCCCAGCCGATGCCGTTGCCGACTGTGCCGCTTCAGCAGCAGACGACAGCAGCTGCAGCAGGGCCGACGAGTGATGCCATGACGACGATGCTGGCGACGGTTCTCAGCACGGCGGTGAGCCATGGTGTTGATGCAGCGGGGCTTGCGGCCATTCAGCAGACCATGGCCAGCATTGTGGCTGCTGCAAAAGCCCCTGATGCTGGAGTCGAGGCCGTTGACAAGACGAAGATCATCGACTCGCAGCCGGCTTTGCCGCCAAGCCCTTTTTCGACGCCTTTGCCGGCCAGCACAGCAGCAAGCCCTTCGACGCCTTTGCCGCCGGCAAGCACAGCAAGCCCTTCGACGCCTTTGCCGCCGCCGAGCACTGCGAGCCCTTCGACGCCTTTGCCGCCACAGACCGCTGTGACGAAAGCCCCGCCGACAGGACCTGCTCCTTCGACGCCTTTGCCACCGCAGACCGCTGTGACGAAAGCCCCGCCGACGGGACCTGTGGTCAACTCAAGCACCCACAGGACTGAGTACCGCTCGTTCCAACGCTTTTGCGAGAACTCACCGGGAGCAGTGGAGTTGAAGAAGGTGTGGGTGCAGGGCGGACCGCAGCGCTTGGCAATGTTCCAGAAGTTTGTTCTGACAGGCTGTGGCCAGGCTTATATATTATTGTATATGCACTAACTATATGACGACGGGTATCGCCGTAGCCTCGTGTACTCTGTAGCTGAGATTATTAATGTACACGTTGTGTGTCTGAGAGTGTAAAGATGTATTCATCGATCCCGTCATCCCAAAGGTAACCCTGCGGCTTTGGAATGTGCCCTCCAGTTCCGCCGGCAGAGCGAGGAGGAGAGCAAAGACGAAGGTGGATCCGCATATTCCTATATTGAAGTTTTCTCATATTATAGCATATACGAAATACAGAAGATAATGTATATCCATATGTATGTATATATATATATATATATATTATACGTATAGCCGTGCTATATTTCTGGGAGTTTGTCGAATATGTGTGTCGTTTTTTTTGGAAGGTTTCTTAGTTGGTCTATGTGATGTGGTCATGCACAGGTGAATATTATTGCTGGCGTGATATACTCGCCTTTCACGAGGGCAACGAACAGAAGGCCTTATCCTTCATTGCAAGACGCAGAGCAGAGCCCAAAGGGACCGGTTGCGTGAAGATCATGTCTTGCAGTTCAGTTAGGGTACCGTGTGCTCCATAATAGTTAATGAAAACAGAAAGTGTCAGGACCAGTTGCGATCGGAATGATCCTGATATGGAGACATTTCTATATTACGGCCGCCAGCGACGGACCCTGACGGTTCGTACGATCGCGTCTTGGCACTTTTTCTACTGTCTCATGTCCGGATCCGGATGCTGTTGTATAGTAGTTCATGTCACGGTGCTGTTGGAAACAATGAGGACGAAATCGCAATCAGCATGGGCGTCTGCCCGAACTTCGCCACGTCCGTGGCGGCACAGCTGGACTCCATGAACGGCGCCCTGCCAGTTGCTGATGGGGCTACTTCTTCGGTGAACCCGCCAGTGCCGGCCCCCGGCAAGGCGGCTCCAAAGGGAAAAGGCAGTGCGCCTGCGCCACCCGGCACGACGACGGAAGACCCCCAGCCGCCGCCCAAGAAGGCGAAAGTTCCGAAGCCGGAGGCACACGCGTCGTGTGTACGTGATAGTCCCATGCATGC